ACCCATGGATAAAAAAACAATCGAAACGGGCAAATAGAGTTTAAGACAGGAGTTAAACTTTCGTTGAGACGGAAGCTATACTCATATAAGCGAGATATTGCCTTCGCGGCTGAAGTGCCACCTTTGCGTGATTGGTGCCATAACAATGCTTCAGTTGAGGTATCCCTGCTAGGCGCGATTATGTGATGCTTGCTGCGAGGGAGACGGGTGCCTCGGCTACATGACATGGTGGTGGGCCGGCCCAGTTGGACGTGGGTCGTCATGCTGGTGTCACATAATATGTTATCTTTTCTACTTTTAGTTATATTTTAAAAGCATATATTTCAAAAATATAGATTTATTTAAGAAATTAAGAATAATTTGAAAAAACGTTGGTGTGTTTTAATAAGATGTTGATAACGTAATAATATCTTTGTAACAATAAAAAATGTACCCACATTTCAAAATAATGTATAAGAGCTTTAAAAAAATTATACAATGTAAAAAAATTGCGTTATGTAAGAAAATGTTTCATACCATTAGAAAATAAACGTGAGGTTTTATGGAATTTTCATGCAGGTAAAAAAGGATTCTTGAAGTTCATTAAAATTTTATACACAATGTAAAAATAATTTTTCGTTTTTTGATTTTTTATTTCCATCAAAAAATGTACATGGCATTTTCAAACATGTTTCTACTATGTATTAAAATGTTTGCGTACTTTAATTATTTATTGTCATTCAAAATATACAATGTGTATCTACAAAATATTACTGTGTATTTGAAAATGTGTTCAAAATATGTATATAATAAATATACATCATGCATTTGAAAAATGTCCAACGTGTATGAGAAAAATATTTCGTGTGCGCTCTAAAAAGCCGAGCGAGCAAACTGCGCTAATAGGCCGGTCCGCTAGTTATCACCAGTAGGCGATTCCTACTAGAAATTTGTATGGGCGACATATAGCACTGGCGCTTCCTGTTACTAGTAAACGTGCACGTGAAAATTCACGTACATAGAAGAAAATAGTCCAATCATAAAAGTAAAAAATATATTATTACAAACGAATTTATACTTGAAGTTTTGGAAGAGCTATAATTAACAAAAAAAATTCTTTAATGTACCTAAGCATTTATGTATGGAGTCAAGGAATTTAACTTCATGGCATCACTCGCGTTGTTCTTGAGCTGGTGTTGGTCGTTCTTAAGACCTTTTCACCTCTCTCTAAGGGCATGTCCAATGCGGGTGCTTAGAATGGGCGCTAGGATTAGTTTCCCGTCCAATTAGCAGTTAATCGGTTAAATCCTGGTGTTGCGCGAGGCGTCGATGCAAGGTGTTGCGTCGAGCGCTTATTCCTTTTTCTGCCTACTGGGAGTGCTCAGTTGTTTAATTTACTCAACAGAATTAGTCTTTGCCGTTGCATGCGAGGGCGCTTACCTGCTTTTTCTATTTTACCATATTTATTTTTTTGCTGGTAAACACTGTATAAGCGGTTGGCATTGTAGATGCCCTAAATGCCATTGATGGAAAAACGTAACATTATACACATCATTCCTTTCAATTATTAAGTCAATGCAGCTAGAAGCATATATATGCCCGGGTTAAAATGTAAACTATCATATTCTTAATATCGTCACAGGTAACATGAGTGCAAAAACTATCTGAGCTGATGCACCATTCAGAAAACAAGCAAGGAAGCAAAATTAAGACAGGGAAGACAATTCTTTCGCCTAAGAAATACCAATGGAAGCAAAGCGCAATGGCATGAGTGGTGGATTGTTCATGAGCGCCTTGCCCGTCAACAAAGGACCTCCTCGATCACCATGCCAATTTTGTCCCCTAGACAAACGCAACTGTGCCAAATTATCTCGGTGGCAGCGGTTTCGGATTCGGGTGCGACCACGACGGTCATCCTCAGGATCGGTGGGTTCTGACCTACTGAAGAAGCATGTGCACATGATTTCTGTGCATGGTTAACACAACCCAAGGCTGCAACCTTCTTTGTTGCCGGGCGACACAACTCTTCTTGAGGAATTCCGCTTTCCTCTCATCAGATATTCTGGCATACCATGATTGACTACATTTCTTTTAGGTTTTCGAGTATGATTATTTTCTGCATTTCCATTTACAAATGAGTTTGTTACATCCTTAAATGGGGAACGATCCCCTGACGTAAATGGATGCGCAACTGGATTATTCTTGCCCATCAACATTTTAAAAGCATAAATGTTAAACAACGTATAACGGATAAGAAAAATAATAATGGCAAAGGAGCCTCAACACCGATCAGACATTAGGACCATGATATTCTAAATGTAAGACACTAATTTTCTCTCTCACACACAACATGCCATGTACGTTCGACTTGCCATGGGTACAACATGATAACTCCGAACAAATGTTCCAAAGCTCAGAATTTCAAAACAGTTAACTGAAAGTATATCACAAATAGTATTACTTCCTCCGTTCCTAAATGTAAGTCTTTGTAGATATTTCATTATGAACCACATACGGATGTATATAGATGCATTTTAAGTTTAGATTCATTCATTTTGCTCCGTATGTAGTCCACCTAATGGAATCCCTACAAAGACTTATATTTAGGAACGGAGGGAGTACATCATAAGCAATGAAAGAATGAAAAATCGCACGGGTTAAATACAAATGGATAATACAATAACGAAAGGTTATTTGAAAGTATAGCACTTTCACAACAACATAAAATTATATGGGCTTAAAATAGATTATGCTCACAAGCAGACAAACAGAAAAACAATGGGGCAATATTTTTTTTCCTTACCTTACCTGAGCAACCAAATTTCTATTATGTTGTTTCCAAGTGCCAAACACAAGCTACAGAATTACTGTGATAGTGATTTTATCCATATTATAAAACCATGTAGAAGTATAAATGGATCTTCAGCAGTCATATTTAAACTGACCAGAATTGCGAAAGGAGGTGAATATTTGCATATTTAAACTGATAATTGAAGCCAGAAAGCATCGGTAAATTACCGCCAGTCGAAAGGGGAGAAGAACGAGAGCGAGGTGACGGGCGACAGCTCGACTTCGTTCAACTGGAGGCAATCTGGAGTCTGCAAAGACTAAACATTCAGCATTCGAGAACGTGCAACCTGAGAATATCGCAGGCACTGGCACATTGCCAACTTGAGTTCATTCTGAATTTCAGTTACACACAAATCACCGTGGCACAACAGAACATAAGAATGATATGTTGTAACAGGGCTGGAACCATCAGATCAGAACCCATGTAAACGTACAGACCTGAAAAATGCTCACCCTGTCCTGCTTCTCTCCGGACGGACCAGACTCGCTTTTCTGCCAATGATGTAAAACATCATGCATGACAATACGTTGAGCACCAGAGAAGCGCCAAGAAGGACGAGGAGGTCGTAGATCCTCCCGCTGCCGTTGGGATGTCCAGGCGCCTCAGCTGATAACGATGATGCGCCGCACGAGGCTCCAAGGCGGCTGAGCGCGGGCGCGGCTCGCGTCCCTGGTCCTGAAGATCTCGACACCGTGCATGCGCTTGGGTTGACAAGCGTCCTCCGCCCTTACATCCCTTACCCAATCCGAAGCCGAGGAGCCATGGGCCGTAGATGAACGAGAGGAACCTCTGGAGGAGGATGTTGCTCTGGCGTCGACCATGGCTGCCGTTTCCTCCGAATGAAGTGCTTGGGGCGGGGCTGCGTCCTCCCTCGAGCAGGTGGAGTTTGGTGTTGATCGCCTACGGCCGGTGCGCGCCGATGCCCGACTGAATTTGATGCGCACGCGGCGAAGATACGCTTCAGGATATTAATACCTGCGTCGCGATGGGGCGGGGCTGCGAGGCGAGCGCCGTTAGCGATCAACAACATGGCGCTGACAAATCAGATGAATTAAGAAACGTAACCAAGAACTGGAAGCATGGATTGTTGATCTTACCAGAGCAAGACCGTTTCTGCTGCTCGTCGTCTCCGATCCCATCCCGCTGGCTTGACCGTCATCCGCCATCGCAGAGACGTCGTCGTGCGTGACCGTCACTGGCCCCTGGCGCCGAAGACGATGATCCGACGCCCTTGGCAGCTCCCGCGGCAATGAATTTAGTCGTGTTGACCTGCTTCCTCCCCCTTGACTGTGCATATGGTGGCGTCAAAGATTTGGCCGCGTGATGGTACCAGTTTCCATAGGCGGGCCAGGCGGCGGCCATGAAACCTTGTGGGAGGTGCGGGCGGGGCAAGAGCGTGCAAGCGGAAGAGAGGGGTGGCGGTGTGGGAAGGGGCCGGTGGGGGTGGGGGACGAAACTACCTCGTTGTTTGAGGAGAGGAACGGGAGATCGTGGGCAGGCGTGACGGTGGGGAGGGGATCGTTTGATCTCCCTAGACGAGGGCTTTTTTTAACGTGGTTATAACCAATGGTAGTGATGGGTAATTAGGGTGTCAAACACATTTGATGTTATGAGACGATTTGGACCATCAGATTAATACGGTTCGATGGTTGTGATGATTTGGTTCTCCGCCCTCTCGTGCTTTTATAGGGGTAGTATATCCGCAAAAACATTAGGTTTTGTACAAACTGGACTCAGGATGCTTTTCTTTTCTATTTACTGGGCTTCCACATTTCTGGACAGAGACGGTGTCTAGTACGTCCTGCACATGTGCAGTTAGCCGCCCGATGTGGCGAACGCGATGGCGATGGGATCCGTATTCTATGCGCCCCTCTATACCTACCTCTACCTGGAGTCAATCTCATACCCACAGGCCACAGTTCATGAGCCATTGCCATTTATCCTCTCCTTACTCCCACTCTAATTGGGAGCCGCCGCCGACGACGAGGCTACAGCACCGACCGCTCGAGCGTTGACGCGATCTCCCTCGACTGGCGTCGGAGATCGTTCGTCGACAAAGTGCCCCACGCCGTATTTTCTGACTCCCGGGAGTCAACGCCAGCAGCCAGCTCTGCTCCGGCTACCCTGATTTTCCTGTCGCCGGAATCAGTCCTTACCATATAAAGCCACGATGCCTTCCGGCTCGGCCTCCGACCCGCTGCTCTCGCGCGCCGACGGCAGCAGCATGGAGGACGACGACGGCATCGACGCCGCGGCGGTGGACCACCGCGGCCGGCCCGCCCCCCGCGCCTCCACCGGCCGCTGGCGGTCGGCGCTCTTCATCATAGGCAAGTGCATATACAGTATACATGCAGCAGCCAAACAACTTTGTTTAGATTTGTGCGTGATGATGATCGGGATCGGAACGTGCGTGCAGCGGTGGAGATCGCGGAGCGGTTCTCGTTCTACGGCGTGTCGGCGAACCTGATCAGCTACCTGACGGGGCCGCTGGGCGAGAGCAACGCCAAGGCCGCGTCCGCCATCAACGCCTGGAACGGCGTGGCGCAGCTGCTGCCGCTGCTCGGCGCCGCCCTCGCCGACTCCTGGCTCGGCCGCTACCGCACCATCCTCATCGCCTCCCTGCTCTACATCCTGGTACGTAACGCCCGGCGCAAAACCAGTCATTTCTTTTTTGCCTCGAGCAATTACCACCATTGCCTCACGCGCGGCGGAGTTCACGGTGCCGGACCCAGTGTCAGTGGGACATTTAGGTAGTGGCGTGCTTGAATCGGTCGTGGGCTCGTGGCCTTTATGTTTGCAGCGCCTGAGATATTGTTCGCTAGATTCTAGCTTGAATTTAACCGCAAGTTGAAGTTAAAATATGGTGAATTATTTGGGTTGTTGAGACTGGGCGAGTGGTCACAGATCTGAGAACAGTTGGGTGGTCGAGGGTGCCTGCACCTGCGGACTACTCGAGGAAAGATAACATTCACCGGCGGCACACGTCCACGTCCACGAGCTGCACAAACTTCTTCGGAAACACGCCAGATTTTTAGTCATTACATCAGACGTTTGTAATGACAAATTATATTGGCATGATGATGGCAATTTTTATTTGCAAAAAAAATGGACTGAGACGGATTTGCCATGCTCGAAGAACATAATTTGTCAAGGTGAAAATCTGGACATCAAATTTGTAGTGGACTCCAACTTCTTTCATCCAAGGGTCCACTGGCGCGTTGTGTTTAACGGAGTAGGGTTTACATTTTCTTTTCTTCTTCTTTTTTGCGTTTGTCTGCTATATGTAATATGCTTGAAAATATGATTGATGAGAGCACTGCCGAATCAGGGGCCAACCTGGACTCACCCAGCCCATGATATTTTTCTAGTATATCCCCTAGTATGTGGCCCATATCTCATGTAAAATCGGCTCAGATCGGAATTTGTTTGCCCCTCAAAAATCAGCCCAAGCTCTGCCGTTGGGAGAGAGGGTGCTGCGGTGAGGACAAAGGTTGATTGGTTCAGATGCCATGCGGAAAACAACATGGTTAGAAGGGCGGTCGGGAGCGACGATGGACAACTTAGACTATGTTCGGTTACGCCCTTCCCCGCGTGGTTTTGGGCCCAAACCACGGGGATCCAGGCGGATCGACCCCACTAGGAAATAATCTCCACGTTTTCGATTCGACGCATTCGGTTAAGCCTCGAGCGGACTTTCGGCAAACCCTATTTGGTGCTGCACGTGCCAGTTAGTGCAGTTTCTCTAACGGGCGCCTGCAGCGCTCCCGCGCTGGGCCGGCCCATCTCATAAATTTTTAGTCGTGAGATTTGAACCCGCGACCTGTATTGTATGTTCAACACGCACTAGCCAACCGGGAAAGACAACAAGTAATGGCAATTACCTTCCTTTTGGTCTTTTATACTCTGTCAGGTGGTTTTTTTCTTTCTTCTTGTGTTTTTTTTTGGACCGGTTATTCTGGTTGGGTTCCGGGGATTTTATTTTACCAGGTTTTCTTCCGTTTTTTATGTTTTCTATTCCTGTTTCGCTTTCTCTTTTTTGTTTTTCTTTCTGCGTTTTTTCATTTCTCCTTGTTTCTTTTTATTTTTCATATTCAATGAACTATCAACAAATCGATGAACTATTTTCCAAAATGCACGAACTTTCCTAAAAATTGATAAACTTTTTTTAAAATTAATGAACCTTTTCCAAATTCTATAAACTGCTTTCAAGTGTGCGAATTTTTTTAAAATTGGTTAACTGTTTTGAAATTCGTTAAACTTTTTTCAATTTTGATGAACTTTTTTGTTAGATCGATGAACTTTTTCGAATTCGATGATTTTTTTTAAATCAACGAACGTTATTTGAAATTGATGAACTTTTTAAAATGCAGTGAATGTTTTTCCAAATTGATGATTTTTTTTCATGTTTGCGTGAACTTTTTTCAAAATCAATGAACTTTTTTATTTTTAGTAAATTATTTTTGTAAATATTGATTATTATTTTCAAATTTGATGAACTTTTTAATTTTCATTAACATTTATTTTTTTCAGATTTGATGAACTTTCTTCAAATTTCATTAACTTTTTTTGAAATTGATTAACTTGTTTCAAATTTGGTGAACATTGTTTTCAAATTCAATCAACTTTTTCGAAGTTTATGAAATATTTTCAGTTTTGTGAACTATTTTGAAAATGGTGAACTTTTTTTCAAGATTTTGATAAATATTTTTCAATTTTTTGTGAACTTTTATTATTATTATTGATCAACTCTTTTCAGAATCTTTGAAATTTTCTTGAATAGGGCAAAGTACTTGTGCATGTTCAGGAACTTTTTCTGAAATCTGTGAAGTTTCATTTTTTAAAAGAAATCATGTAACACGGCTATAATAGGTGCTAAAGATTTAGCATTGTATTTAATCACTTGCAACTGCATGTCTGAATGGTGAGCCGAACACAGTTGGTGTGTTGGTCGTTCTCCGCGGTGGCTATATTTTCTGGATAGTTTTGGCGCTTTTTTTGTGCGATGCGCCTTCGTGGGCCGGCCCACCCCGCCCTGTAGCAAGCGCCACATCTCCTAATCGGCGCCTACAGCGCCGACTAGAGCTCCCGGATCTTTCCCCCGTCCAGACCCCTGAAAACCGCGAGGAAAAATCAGCTCCAACCCACCCGTGGAAAAAATCAGCTTCGCCTCTCTCTCGTCCATAGGTCTCTTGTTGACGCGACCGAAGCGGGGGCATGGGCTTAACTGAATGGAAGAAAGTGGCCCCGATCATCTTTGTGGCAGGGAGTTGACCCCCACGGTGGTCAGGTGCTGACACCCAATCCCTGCAGGGATTAGTTCCACTAGGGGAACTAATCTATTGTAACTGAACAAGGCCGTAAGGGCATGCCCAACGCGTCGCCCCAGCCTGCTGCCCGCAGTGCCAAGTAGGCTCGGACGCCACGGCGCTGGTTCGGCGAGTGCCCCGCAGTTGTCAGGGGATCATGCAGAAGAGACGGTCTCTTCAGGAGATAAAGTAGGAGAGAGAGAAAAGGGGGAAGAGAGAGGGGGGAAAACGGTGAAGAAAAACGATAGCGGTGACTCGATGGGGATGCGAAAAGGAGGTTCTGCTCATGTCAGCAAGCCACTGATGCATTGGATATATGGGGAGCAACTAATTAACGAGCGCTCCTTCGGGAGCCTCGCAACGATCAGCGCCACTTGGCTCGCTCTCAGTTATTCGCCACATGTCACGCTCTGGGCGCTCCCTCCGGATTTTGTTTTCTTTTATTTTTCCGTACGCATTTTTGGCCTTTTAAAGGGTTTTTTCCGGGGATTTTTTTACGTTTTGGTTTTCCACCGGTCTTCCCTAGCTTTTGGACCAAAAAAGTTTATTTTTCAAAAAAAATGTGTAAAAAAACACATTTTTTTCGCGAGAGTCACGGTTTTGTTTTCGCGAGAGGCACGGTTGTGCTTCCGCGAGAGGCACGGCCGTGCCTCTTGGAAACGAAAAAAAACCGTGTTTTCTGGTTTTTTTTCTTTCGCGAGAGGCACGATTTTGCTTCCGCGAGAGGCACGGTTGTGCTTTCGCGAGAGTCACGGCCGTGCCTCCTCGGAAATGAAAAAAAAAACACGATTTCTGTTTGTTTTTTTCTTTCGTGAGAGGCACGGTTTTGCTTCCACGAGAGGCATAGTTTGTGCTTTCGAAAGAGGCACGGGCATGCCTCTTTCGGAAAGGAAAAAAATGCGTTTTTTGTTTTTTTTTTCTTCCGCGAGAGGCACGGTTTTGCTTTCGCAAGAGGCACGGTTGTGCTTTTGCGAGAGGCACGGGCATGCCTCTTTTGAAAAGGAAAAAAAGTGTTTTCTGTTTGTTTTTCTTTCGCGAGATGCACGATTGTGATTTCGTCAGAGGCATGGACGTGCCTCTTTCAGAAAGGGAAAAAACACGTGTTCCCGGTTTGATTTTTTCGTCGGTTTTTCATCCGGTTTTTTCATGAAAAAAAAGTTCATCAAAACCTATCAACATGGGATCTAGTTTTGAATATCTCGACGCGAGGAATCCAACGGCGAAAGCGGTTCGGGATTTGGACGCACGGTTTAAGAAATAAAATATTTTGAATAAACGGATCTACGAAAAAGGAAAAACACCCATGCTGCGACAAGTGGCGCACATGCAGCACGCCACTTGTCACAACCTGAGAAAGTTGAAATGATTTCGTAAGAAGTACTCCTTAATTAGTGATTTTGTGTGAATTAAACGATGGTCTCAACTTAATGGGCTTGCGTGGATGGCCGCCCATTGCTCATGCCCTAAGAAGGGTGTGGAGGCAAGGCATACGTGGCAGGGCCACCGGTTGTGGGTGATGGTGGCAGGCAGCCCGGCTGGCGTCAGGAGAAAGACAACGAGAGGAGATGAAACATACTCCAGGGAAGTCAACTGACATATAGGCGGTACCTTTCTTCTTGAGTAGGGGAGTAGGTTTTTCTATTGGGACAGAGGGGAAAGTAGGTGCCTATTGCTGTTGATGGGATTTGGTTAGGTAAACTTCTGTTGGACAGTGCGTCTTTGTCTTGTTTACAGTGAGAAAGAGGTACGTCTCACCTTAGGGAACGTGCTAACTAGGCCTGCCCAATAGTGTCAGTTGAGTTGACCGGTTTCATTTTTTTATATTTTAAGACATTCAAAATAAATATATTCCAAAAAACTAATTTAGTTTTTTTGAAAATGTTAACTATGAATAAGAAAAATGTTAACTTGTTTTAAAAGTTTGTTAGTGCAATTTAAAAAGAATGCTGATAGTAGTCAAAAACTATTTCTGACATATAAAAAATGTTCACGTGTTCCAAAAAAATGTACATAACATTTCTAAAAAAACGTGTTTATACGATGTAAAAAAATCCCGTAATTAAAAAAAAGTTTCATATCAATAAAAGGATCAAGTTACATTCAAAAAATGTTCACGAGTTTCAGAAATATGTTTGTAACATATTTACAAATTGTTTATACGATGTGAAAAAGTCGGATATAAAACTTAGATCTTTCAAAAAAAAATGTTCAAAACATGTATTTTTTAGATCATGAATTTTAAAAAGTAAAACGTGCAAAAGATCTTTTAGATATATACAAAAACGAACAATTTGTATGAAAAAATAGACATCAAAACAAATATTTAGAATTAATGTCAATCATGAACATAAAAAATGTGAAACATGTGTAAAGAATGTTTTTTATGCATACGAAAAATATACAATGTGTATGAAAAACGCAGACATGTGTCAATTTTTTTAAAAGGACAAATCCGATGAAAATCAAAGAAAAAATAAAAACTAAATTAAAAGGGAAAAACAAATTGCTGCAAACAGTGAAAACTGATAATAAAACTACAAAGGGAAAAAAATTGTAACAGCTCCAGTACTTTGCCGGCCCGGGTCTTCCTTGATAAGAGGCATGACTAACAATAATTAGTACTCCTTTTTTTTGTGAGAATACTTCCGATCTATTCATCAACTGTCAAGATAGTACAAAGAACACCAGAAGTAAATATTACATCCAGGTCCGTAGACCACCTAGCAACGACTACAAGCACTGGAGTGAGCCAAAGGCGCGCCGCCGTCATCGCCCCTCCCTAATCGGAGCCCGACTAACATTATTGTAGTAGACAGTCAAAAAGTTGTCATGCTAAGGCCGATGAAGTGAAGCGTAGATCGAAAGGATCCAACACAAATGTACGTAGACGAACGAAGACCGGGTCCAAGCGGATCCACAGAAGACAGGCGCCGACCGGATCCCATGAGATCCGTCGGAGACACACCTCCACACGCCCTCCAACGACGCTAGAAGCTCCGCCGGGATGGAGGCTAGACGGGGAGGACCTTATTCCACCTTCAAGAAGCCGCGATCGCCTCATCGTCCTAAGCATGGCACAAACGCCGGCAAAATTTTAGAAAAAACACCTACAGACGGAGCCCTCCCGCCGGCAAGGGCCGGGATCCACCGCACCTCCATGGACCAAGAACCATAGAAGACACGGTGGACCGGCAGCGGCGCCGGCGAGAGGCAAGGAAACCCTAGCACCTTGGTTTCAGGAGGCTAGAGCGAAGAGTTGTTTGGTACTCCCATCCTTTTTACAATAATTAGTACTCCCTTTTTTCATAAATATAGGATGTTTCAACTATTTTTGTGAATTTGGTGTATATAGAGACGCTTTAATGTGTTTTTCACTTTTTTCAATTTCAATTTGTATGTTTATATTGAAATATTCAAAACAACTTGAACGGAGGGAGTACTGTATAATTTTTGGAGGACGAGATTTCACTCTGCTCTTCTTTCTCCGATGTTTGATTCACGATACAGGATCGTATGCATTACATTTCTAAATTTCTCAATTGGCGCGACTGAAACTGCGTGCAGGGTTTAGGAATGTTGGCTCTCTCGACATTGCTCTCCTCCGGCAATCACAAATGCAGCAACACCGACGGCGGCACGCCCTGCTCGCCGCCGTCCAGTCTGCAGATGGCCGCGTTCTACACCTCCCTCTACCTGGTGGCCCTCGCGCAGGGCGGGCACAAGCCGTGCGTACAGGCCTTCGGCGCCGACCAGTTCGACGCGAGCCACCCGCGGGAGGCCGTCTCCCGGAGCTCCTTCTTCAACTGGTGGTACTTCGGCATATGCGCCGGCACCGCCGTCACGCTCGTGTTCCTCAGCTACATCCAGGACAACATCGGCTGGGGCCTCGGCTTCGGCATCCCCTGCGTCGTGATGGCCTGCGCCCTCGCCGTCTTCTTGCTCGGCACCCGCACGTACCGCTACTACGTCTCCGACGGCAAGCAGCGGAGCCTGTTCGCTCGTACCGGCGAGGCTTTCGCCACGTGGCGGACCAAGCGGCGGAAGTTGAGTCCCCTTGCAGCCTCCGATTCGCATGAAGCTCATCGTGCGGCAACATCGGTGCCGGAATACAGGTAATTCAGAGTGTTTGGCAGCGTGTTCAGTCGATGAGATGCAGGAACGCGACGTAGCCATTGATGTGCTTTCGCCAAAATTTGCAGTGCTCAGGTCGACGAGGAAGAGCAGGGGGTGGTGATCAGCAACGCGGACCTCATCGAGGAAGTCAAGGGCGTCCTCCGGCTGTTCCCGATCTGGGCGACGTGCCTGATCTACGCCGTGGCGTTCTCCCAGTCGTCGACGTTCTTCACGAAGCAGGCGGCGACCCTCGACCGGCACGTCGGCAAGCGAGTCCAGGTGCCGCCGGCGGCGCTGCAGAGCTTCATCAGCATCACCATCGTGCTCTTCATGCCCATCTACGACCGCGCCATCGTGCCGCTGGCGCGCCGCTGCACCGGCGTCTCCTCGGGCATCACCATGCTGCAGCGCATCGGCGTCGGGATGGTGCTCTCGCTCGTGTCGATGGTGGTCGCGGCGCTCGTGGAGACGCGCCGGCTCCGGATCGCGGCGGACGCCGGCCTGGCGGACCTGCCCAAGGTGCCGGTCCCGATGAGCCTGTGGTGGATGGTGCCGCAGTACGTGCTGTTCGGCGCGGCGGACGTCTTCACCATGGTCGGCCTGCAAGAGTTCTTCTACGACCAGGTGCCCGACAAGCTGCGCAGCATCGGGCTGGCGCTCTACCTCAGCATCTTCGGCATCGGCAGCTTCATCAGCAGCGGCCTCGTGTCGGGCATCGACAAGTGGACGTCGGAAAGGGGGCAGAGCTGGTTCTCCAACAATCTCAACCGCGGCCACCTCGACTACTTCTACTGGCTCATCGCCGCGCTCAGCGCGCTCGAGCTTGTGGTGTACGTCTTCTTCGCCGTAACTTTCAAGTACAAGAAGAAGGCAGCATCAGCTACCGTTGGTTAGAATTAGCAGTAAGTATATACTCTACTCGTGCTAGGCATAGGATAAATATGAATTCAAGGTGTACATGCTTACATTTTTAAGATCGCTATTCCCCACTTCGATCCGGCCGGGGCCGATTATCATGACATTGGACACGCCACAAAGAGGGTTTTGGGAGAACATAGCTCTGTCGAGAGCCTAACTTTAAGTAACGTTGAGCCAATTTCCCACGCGGTTGTGTAAAAAGCAAGTAAATTTAAGTGCGATTTGTTGTAGGGATTTAGGTGGAAAAAATTATCACAATATGTAAACGTCGGTCGCCTGAAAATCTAATTTTGGTCAGTCGATTTTGAGAAAGGCGAAGAAGTTCGCTGGAGGGAGGCCGGAGGGAAGGAAGGAGCTCACCGGAGGGCTACCTCATCATCTACCGTTGATGGGTGGTGGGGGTGGGGGCGGCAGCACGGCGGTGGTACAAAATCGCAGGGGGAAATCTCCATCGGTCCGGGGGCTAGAAGGATGGCCGGGGGCGGCAGCTGCACTGCGGTGGGAGGAGGTTCTGGGGAGGATGGGGTGGCGAGGCTACGCGGGAGCACCGTCGACCGCGGGCGATGGTGGGATGGTTTGGCCGGTGGTCCATGGGGGCGGTTGGAAGAAGGCATCGGGAGGAAGAAGATGCAGCGTTGTGCCCGTCATATGTTTTCAAAAAATGGTTGAAGGTGAAAGATGACTTGGCATCCGTTAGATAAGAGATCGAGGGCGGAGAACGATCGACTGGCACAAACTGGGATTTTGGTAGACTAGCACATAGTCAGTCCCAAAAATTACCGATGCAACTCTAGATAACATGACTTGATGGCTAGGTTCAGTGAGTTCGTATCGAAGCTTGCTTGAAAATTTAGGAGGATCTACTTCTCCAGGGCGAAAACCACATGTTATGTTTGCATCTTTGTATTCGGTGGCGACATCGATATCCTAAAATTCAAGTATTTCCAGTCAAAAAAATTTCCAACATTTCTTTTAAGACATCATTACTTGGTAACAGGTGCATCTCGTTTTTGGCTTGCACCATGTTTAGCCCTGTACTCCCTCCATCTCGTATGTATTTTGCTAAGACAAGCAATTGACTATTTTTATTATTACTGCTATGTGGTTTACATATCATGGAATTTATATTGGCAGCTTCTTTTTAAAGAATTTACTGCTAATTCTAGTTTGGTATCATCATATAAATGGTGAATTAATGGAGTGATTCTTGATCAAACCCATGTCTTTACAAAATCTAATACACCGGAAGATTAAATTTTGTGTGTGGTATGTGCCGCTTATAATAACCTAGTTGTACATGTTAATAGAGTTACATATCACCTGTCTAACTCAGGATTGTGTTCGATTTGTGGTTTTTTTTTTAGAACATAGACGTCAGAGACGTCCGGCTTTAAATTAATAAAGCCCACAAAACTTAGGGAGAGTAGCACAACCACCGAACAAAACAACATAAACTAACACGACAGTTAAGAGGATAGGCCGCTAAATGAGCGCAAAGTTGCGTTACAAGGCGGAGAACGGCCCAAAAGCAGCGAGCACGCAAGCTCGGAAGGTACTAAGACCAAAAGGGGTTGCCCATCCCTATGCGGCAACCAGTTGAGCAGGCGACGGAGCTCGAGCCTCGGAGTAGACGGCGTGGAGACGACAGATAGCTTGGCGGTGGAGATCAGAGTCCTGTTGTCTTCCCAGCGATGCCCATTGCTGCAAGAAAACGATGCATTTGAAGATAACGTCAGCGGGATGCGAGGGGAACACCCCCTCAATAGTAAACTTGTTACGGGTATTCCAAATAGCCCATAGCATAGCCGCCGCACAAGTCCACATGACCCTACGAGACGCGCCTTGAAACCCAGATAAGGAAGACACGAGCTCAGGTCGGGAGCGTGGATCCCAATCCACTCCCGCGGCCTCCCGGACCGCGCTCCAAGCGAAACGAGCCAGGGAGCAAAGGAAGAAGGTGTGGTCAGCATCTTCCGGGACCCCACCCAGCGCACAGGGGCCAGAGGCGGGGTCGTTGCGTTTAGCGAGGTTAATAGAGGTAGGAAGGCGATCTTGACAAAGTTGCCAAAGGAAGACCTTAATTTTGAGCGGGATCTTTGCCTTCCAAAGCCCCGTGGCCGCCGACGGGATCTGACCGTGGCATAACTCTCTGTACATGGATTTGACAGAGAATTTGCCGGAGCTCGCAAGTCTCCACGAGATCAGGTCCGCGGATTCCGACAATCGAACGTCCGCAAGTAGCGCCAGAAGGCGGTCCCAATCTGCCAACTCCGGCCCGATTAGCTCACGTTTGAAGTTAATACAGGGGGGAGGTGCTAAGAGCCGAGGCAACCCGTTGCTCGGGTTCGACTGCTAAGGAGTATAGTTGTCGAAACTCCGCCCATAATGGGCGCTGGCCAATCCAATGATCAAGCCAGAGACGCGTAGAGCGTCCGTTGTTAACCGCAAACTTTGCGCCCCTGGCAAAGAGGGGTTTAAGGGATTGAATGGAATTCCAGAAAGGAGACCCACTGGGAGCCGCGTCAAAAAAATCCCCTCACGGGAAATATTTTGCCCGGAGGAGGTCGATCCAGAGGCCAGTCTCACCCTGAGTCATTTTCCAGATCCACTTGCACATTAGTGCGATGTTCATCAACTTGGAGTTGATGATCCCAAGACCCCCCTGGGTTTTGGGACGACACACGGCTTGCCATTTAACCATATGGTATTTTCGTTTCGGTCCCGCTCCTTCCCAAAAGAAACGGGACCGCGGTGTGTCAAACTTAGAGTGTACCTCGTCCGCCAGCAAGAACAGACCCATGGCAAACATGGGCAAAGATGAGAGGCTGGTGTTGGTAAGGATTAGTCTTGCCCCTGAAGACATAAAACGGCCCCTCCACGGGCAAACCCTATTCGCCACCTTGGAGGAGAGGGGCTCCCAGTCAGCGATTGTACACTTCTTTGCCGCTATTGGGAGCCCGAGGTAAGTAAACGGGAACTGGCCTAGTTTGCAGTTAAGCAGGTTGGCGACCCGTTGACTTTCTGTCGCGTCCATCCCTATGGACACCACCTCACTTTTGTGGAAGTTAATTTTTAGTCCCGACATGAGTTCGAAGCACAACAGTATAGCTTTGACCGAAGCGATACTATGTGTGTCGGGCTCGAAAAGAAGAAGAGTGTCATCCGCGTATTGCAAGTGGGACACTCCTCCCGGGATTAGGTTGTCCACGACACCCCTAATGTGGCCGGCTAGACGAGCCCTGTCTAGCATGGCGCCTAAAGCGTCCGCCACGAAGTTAAAAAGCAACGGCGACGCTGGGTCCCCTTGACGCAGCCCGCGCTTGTTGCGGAAGAAGTTCCCTACTTCTCCGTTCACCGCATGATGCAGTTGGTCTCGGGAGGAACTCCCAGTTCACGCGGTCATACGCCTTCTCAAAATCGAGTTTGAGGAGAATCGCTGGCTGTCGAGCACGCTTAAGGGAGTGGATAATTTCTTGAAGAACCAGCGGCCCCTCCAAGATGTTACGGCCCCGAATGAACGCGGACTGGGTTCTACTAATAATATGGTGGACTATCGGAGACATGCGAGTAGAACAAGCCTTAGCACAAATTTTAAACGGGACGTTAATTAAGGCAATAGGACGAAAAAGTCTAATGTGATCCGCACCCGGGACCTTGGGGATCAAAGAGAGAACCCCAAAGTTCAGGCGGGAAATGTCTACCGTACCGCGCATAAAATCGTTGCACACGTCAAAAATGGGGTTTTTGAGCACTTGCCAAAACCGCTTGAACATCGCCACCGGCCACCCATCCGGCCCCGGAGCAGTGTTAGATTTCATACCCAGCGTCGCCTTGTCAATCTCCTCAGGGAGGAAGGCTAAGCTCAGGTTCTCGTTTTCCTCGTCCGTGACCCGCAACGCAGGGTCCCACACGTCCTCCCTCAGGCGAGCCCTGGATTCCTCCCTGGAACCCATGAGTTGGATGTAGAACTCGTAGATGTGCCGGACGATATCCTGTTGCCGCAGTATGAGCCCCTGCTCCGATTGAAGACGAAGGATAGCGCACTTACGGCGTCGGCCATTTGTGTATGTGTGGAAGTATTTTGTGTTCGCGTCGCCCTTGAGCGTCCACTTTATTCCACCGTGCCTACGCCAGTACTCTTCCTCGGCCCTGAGGAGGGATTCGACTTGGGCCTCAACCGCGTAGCGCTGGGCCCAGTCCTGCGCGGAAAAGATGTGCAGATCTGCCGCTGCGTCTAGCTGGGCTAGCTCCTCGGTCAGGCGCACCCTTAACAGCTTATCCGCACAACCCTGATTAGCTCCCCACCCTTTGAGAGCCGCTCGCATACCCGCCCCTGCGGCAATCCAGAACTCCATGGGGCCGCGTACGCGCCCGATGCGAGCGACGCAATTCGCCCACTTCGAAAGGAAGGTTTGCTCGAAGTCCGGAGACTCCAGCCATGCTGTTTCGAAGAAGAAACGCGGGCTGCGTTTAAGCCTTTCCTCCCCCGAGGAAAGGATGAGGGGGACGTGGTCCGACCTGATCCTAGTTTCTGCGTGTAGAGAGCACAGGGGGAACAGCACCTCCCACTCCGAGGACATAAAAACCCTGTCCAAGACCGAACGCACCGGCGTAAGCTGTTTGTTGGTCCAGGTATATCGAGCCCCCACGCGGGCCACTTCCCTAAGGGCCATGGAAGCAATAGCATTATTAAACATGGCCACCCTTGACCAGTTAATAATACCGTTGTTCTTGTCCGCTCCCGAGCGGATCAAGTTGAAGTCACCCCCCACCAGCAGAGGAAGGTTGCTCACGCCAACAGCCATCACCTTTGTCTGAAGCTCTTCCAAGAACTCCAGTGAGAGCGAGTGATTGGCCGGGCCATACACGGCAATCACCACCCACTCCTGAAGAGTGGCGCGGTGCCGCACGTGAGCCGACAGGAAGAAGCGGCCGGCATCCCAAGCCACCACTTCAAGGCAGACTAGGTTAACTCC